AAAAAAGTCAGAATTCTGAGATTAAAGTCAGAATTCTGAGAAAAAAGTCAGAATTCTGAGATTAAAGTCAGAATTCTGAGAAAAAAGTCAGAATTCTGAGATTAAAGTCAGAATTCTGAGAAAAAAGTCAGAATTCTGAGAATAAAGTCAGAATTCTGACTTTTTTCCCATATTAAACTTAAATAAAATTTAAAAATCAGTTAACTTTTTTTTTCAGTGGCCCTAATCTTCTTCCGTAATTAACACTTTACCTAATAACTGAAAAATTAATTAATTCCTAACCTTCATCTGCAGACTGAGATATTTCTTTGGATCAACTTAGAGGCCTTTGGAGCTCCTCTTCCAGAAAATTGTTCATTATGAAAAAAGTTTCCTACTCAGACTTTAGAGGGTTAATATCACTACAGTAACAACATTTATCTTTATGATCAAAAGCTGGTGGAACCGACTCAAACTGCAAACTAAAGGCGGTGTGTTTGAATAAAAAAAAATAAAAAAATAACCTAGTGAGGTAATGAGAACGCTGCATGAGACATCAACTCCAATAGACGCATTAGATGAGAGGACTTTTAATGAAAAGGAACACTTTTTCTTTAAATCTTCCTGTATTGACTGATTCCTTTTGTAGTTTCAGACTTTCATGCGATTTCTCCATCTCTCTCCAGTTTACTGTCCTTCTGTTCCTCTTGGCTGCAGCTAAAATCACCACTGGAGCGCTTGCTTACATCTACCGGGATGAGGTAAACGGAAACACACAATCTGGTTAGATTAGATATTTCTTATTCCTAATGTGATTACATTTCATTGATAAGGCTGGAAAGATGCTTGGAGATCTATACGTTGATGTTTATAAGCTCTATGTGAAGAATGAAGAGGGAGCCATGGCTGTCACTCTTGGATTCTTCCACAGCATGGTAAGCATCTCCTATATCACACCTAGGCCTCATTTACTTTCACTTACGGCTGCAGAGTGTTGCAGCGTGTTTGTCTATACTTTTCAACGTGCGTCACTGTATAACCTGCACCCGACTAACATTTACAAAGATTTGTATTTAATTTGTAAACAAAGTAGATGTAAAATAAAGGGGAAATATTTGGTGTAATATGCAAATCTGATGGAGGCTGCTCAGTGATGCAGTGGGTAGCACTGCTGCCTTGCAGCAAGAAGGTTCCGGGTTTGATTCCCGGCCATGCATGGAGTTTGCATGTTCTCCCTGAGCATGCATGGGTTCTCTCTGGTTATTCTGACTTCCTTCCACGGTCCAAAAACATGACTGTTAGGTTAATTGGCTTCTCTAAATTCTCCTTAGGTGTGAGTGTAAAGGATTGTTTGTCTCTGTGTTGCCCTGTGATGGACTGGTGACCTGTCCAGGGTGGACCCCGCCTCTCGCCCATAGACACCTGGAGATAGGCACCTACACCCCTCATGACCCCACTTGGGATTAAGTGTGTAAGAAAATGGATTGATGGATGCAAATCTGATAAATAAAATAATTTCCAAGTGCTGTGTTCTATAAAACTGCAGCTCAGATGGTGAATCCAAATAAAAGTCAGATATTAACTGTAATATAAAAAACAACTTTTTTTCTTGTGCTTTACAAATATGTTGGTGTAGATAAAGGGTCTTCAGCCTGTACAAAGATACTTATTCTCACAAAATAAGTTAGAGCCTCAAAATACAAAATAAAAAGAATACAAGTAAAGGAAGTTTGCTATTGTGTTACCAGTTTCTAGATTTAAAATAGAAATTATACTTAAGAGAGGGGCAACTCAAGAAAATAAAGGGGCCAAATCCTAGATCTGAATTAATGAAATATTCTCATCAAGTGCTTTGTTCTTTACAAAGTTGAATGTGCCGATTACAAAATCACACAAAAGTCATGAATAAAATAAAATTTAAAAGCAATGGAACCTGCTCTCATCTGTAAAGAGCACAGGGCGCTAGTGGAGAATTTGCCAATTGTGGTTTTCTCTGACAAATGGAAAGTGTCCTGCAGGGTGTTGGGCTGTAAGCACAACCCCCATTTGTGAACGTCGGGCCCTCATACCATCCTCATGGAGTCTGTTTCTAACCATTTGTGCCGACAGATGCGCATTTGTGGCCTGCTGGAGGTCATTTAGCAGAGCTCTGGCAGTGCTCCTCCTGTTCGTCCTTAAACAAAGGCAAAGGTAGCAGACCTGCTGCTGGGTCGTTTCCCTCCTACAGCCTTCGCAACATCTCCTGGTGTACTGTCCTGTCATCTGGTAGCTCTACCTAAGACACTTCTGTGGGTTGTAGAGTCCATCATTTAGTTTGCTCAAATTCAGTGCAGATTATTTAAAAAGAAAACAAAACAAAAAAAAGAAAATCAGAAAATCGCTAAAAAATATCTCCCTTTTTTTTTTTTTTTTTAAACATAATTTTTTCCAATAGCTTTAAACCAAATTTATTAGGCACCATTTTTTCTGGAGTCTTGGCTCGTAGATGAGACCATACTGATAAAAATCATCATAGGTTGTGGTTGCATTGTGACTAAATGTGAAAAAGGTTCCAGTGGTGTTTTTTTAGGCTTTGTTTTTTAACCAAAACCCATCCAGTCCCACTGTTTGGGTCACGCTTGAGTATAACAGCAGCTTTGATTCAACCTGGTTCTGCATCCTGGTCTTACAGGAGACCACAGGCAGTCAGATGATTCTAGTGTGGATATTAAAAGTTCAAACAATGCACATAAGCTCCAAATTCTTCCCTTTCAGATTTCCATTTCATTAAATCCTTCAAATGATTTCCATTATAGTATTGATAGTATTGGAAATGGATTAACTTCTGTTTGAAATACGTTTTTCATTTTAAGGCATTAAAGATGATTTCTATGTTTTTAAATAACTAAAGGACTCAATCATTTATAGTTGCTGAGCTGCTTTTGTTTCCATGTTTCCACTGGTATTTCCATGATTTATCTGATGATACCCTACATGCTGTAAAGATTGGGGAGCCTACTTAGCAGCACCCTAATCTTTATCCTCATTAAGATTCATGTTGGGACTCAGAACCACTTTAAACATCTTGGTGGAATTAAAGTTTGGCTGTCAGGAATATATGACCCTTTGTGACTCCATGAAAGATCAAAATTAACAGCAAAAGAAAATTAGATATCTGCTAAAAATTCCAGTTAAATATTAAACGATTTATTAAAAATGTTGTGTAAATAATCTCTGATGGTTCTCTTCTGTTCTCTACAGCTCCACTGCTGCGGATGTAGTGAAGACCCCCTAACAGAGCTGGTTAGGAAGACGTGCCCAAAAGTGGATATCAGAGGACAAGATTATACCAACGTAAGTTGGGGTTTGATCAAAGAAATCAATTATAGCATGAGCGTAGGTTTGCATAGGGACCATAGGGACATGTCCCTA